ATAAGCAAATAAGCGTATTCAGTATTCGGCGTTTCGGCAATTTTTTCACTTTTCATATTCGGCCGGCATCAAAGCCGAAATTTTTTTTTTTAGATACGGAAGAGCTCGGTGTTCACACAGTATCCACTGAAAATATCGTTATCAGTCAAATAAAGTTTAGAGAAAAGATCTGATTCCATTGTAAAATCCAGATATTTCAAAGAAATATAATAGTAGTAAATCAACTAGCTTTCCGCCAGTGGTTTCACCCTCGTGGTCCTGTTTCATAAGCAGGTATAAAATCTTCTTCTTGAGTCACTCTTAATATTTATGCAAATCTCATTAAAATTCCTTTTGTTGTTTAAAAGATCACAGCGTACAGACAGCGGGAAGCGCGATAGATGGTGATTTTTATTTTTGCAAGCGTCCTGAGATTATCAAAATCCGATCGTAATTCTAATCTAAAAATCTTAAAGCAAATCCTGAGATAACCCTAGTCTGAAACCAAACGAATTTAAGGTATTTAGGTTGATACAACAATAACGTCACTATTGTCAAGAAAATATAATATACTCGTACCTACCTCTTAGATAAACTACTGTCTTCTGAAATGGCAATGGCAGCATTCCAACTATTGAATGTGCACATTTTGCATTCAAATAAAGCATTTTAGTACGGAAGTTTTAACTTGTATTCGTTTCGTTTGTTTCAGCCACTGTCAACGCGAAGTGAATAGAGTGGCTATACTTAAAATGTGAATGGGACATTTCCGCAGTTTATATTTATTTATTGGGAAATGTTTCACGATGTCAGATAAAATGTTGAATACAAGAAAATTGGCATTGGTAATGATTTCTTATAGATTGACACTCAACGTCGATGTTTCGTTTACAACGTTCAAATCATGAATATAATAAATCGAAAAACTAATTTATGTGTCGTGTTATGTTGTGATGTGACAGAAAAATATCGGTGATTTATACATTTACCATGGTTAGATTACAGACACATTTTGCATGTTATATCCAGAAACAGATCCATCCCATTATAATGTATGAAATAACACGTGATACCAACGACACAACTCGAAACATAAATGTGTTTTCGCCTAAAATAAATAATAATACTATCGCTATAATATTAACGAGATAGTCCTACAATTTACTGGGTAGCGTGGTTATGTTATAACGGCAGCATTATCATAGAGCAAAGAACGCAAGACGAACCCGGTGGTGCATGACGGAGTGGCGTGCCTCTAAGATGTTATGGATACTAAAGTTTTCTAACGACTAAATAAAAGTGATCCTGTACGAACAGTTGAATGATACATTTTAATAACGATGTCAGTATGGAGTGAGAAAAACCTAATAACATCGGATCTATGGTAAGATAGAAAGATACCATTTCATCAAACAAATATTTTTTGTGACTGAAAACGAATTGGTTGCCTGTGTTATATAGAAAGTGATAAGAGTTACCTACGAGGAAAGCAAGGAACTTGCACATTTATGAAATTGACATCACGTATTAATACATGGATATTTGACTCTCGCACAAATAAAATAAGGGCTAACTGTAATATTGAACGGCTGTTTTAACCGGTTGGAGGAAATAGGGGACATTAGTCGATGGAAATAAATACGAGGGTCAAACTGAAAGTTCTTAGAACTGGCCACTTATAAACAATATAATAAAAAAATAATTCTAAAATTTGAAAATATAACTCTTTGCCAATATTACTGAGTATATATTTCATTCATTTGTCATTTGTTTTACGATTTGGCGGCAAATTGAAAATTGTCTGTGTCACGTCATCATGAATTTAACACGAGAAAATTTTCGTGCAATGATTTTTTATGACTTTCGATGTCATTGAAGTCAACAAGAAAGTTATGATAGACTACGATTGGCCTTTCACGATGAAGCCCCATCTCGTGCGACTGTTTACAACTGGTTTAATGAGTTTAAACGTGGTCGCACTAATCTCACTGATGATTTACGTGAGGGACGGCCTTCTACGGCGACGACTGAAGATAACATCTGTGTTGTGCGGCGTATGATAGAGACTGACAAAAGAGTGACCTATCAACAGATTCGGACAAGCTTAGGCATCGGTATGAGTCAAGTGCACAAAATCCTCCACGAACATTTAGCGGTCAGGAAGCTTTGCGCCCGGTGGATACCTCATAATTTGACTGAGGCTCAAAAACTCCATCGTGTGGATTGGTGTCGTAAAATGATTGAAAGATTTAACGGAGGTGACTCAAATGCTGTGTTCGACATACTAACAGGTGACGAAAGCTGGATTTACTGTTATGATCCTAAAACCAAAAGACAATCTGCTCAGTGGGTGTTTCCTTTCGAGGAGTTGCCAACTAAAGTGAAGAGAGATCGAAGTGCGGGAAAAAAAATGGTGGCCTCGTTCTTTGGAAGGATAGGTCATTTTGCAACAATTGTGTTAGAGGATCAAAAAACAGTTTCTGCAGAATGGTACACTACCAATTGTTTGCCACTTGTCTTGGAAAAAGTTCGAGAGAAACGACCTCGCAGTAGGATCCTCCTTCACCACGACAACGCCTCGTCGCACACCGCCAAGCGAACGATCGACTATTTGGCGACATCAAACGTTGAATTACTGGGTCACCCGCCGTATAGCCCCGACCTCGCGCCTTGTGATTTTTATTTATTTCCAAAAATTAAAGAAAAACTTAAAGGAAAGCGGTTTATGAATGCTGAAGAAGCGGTGGCTGCGTATCGCGATGCCATTGAAGAGACCCCTAAGGACGAGTGGGCAAAGTGCTTTTCCCAGTGGTTCCATCGCATGCAGCGGTGTATTGACGTGAATGGACAATATTTTGAAAAGATATAATAAAACTAATAACTGGCTAATGTAATCAGTTTTTGATTTTCTAAGAACTTTCAGTTTGACCCTCGTATCTGCTGGGTGGTGTAGTGGATAAGCGCCCCAGCACCACAATCGTTGTTGTTAGGCAACTTTCGCAAGGGTCCGTCACGGGATGGGTGATCCAAAAACTATTATCTCGAGCTACTCCGTGCTTCGGAAGGCACGTTAGCGTTCGGTCCTGGCTGCATTGGGCCAGCATGGGAGGGTCAAGACGCGTCCTCCTTGGACAACCATAAGGACGTCCTGAACCCCTGCAGTGGGGACGAAAAAAGGCTAATGTTGATGAAGATGAATAAATATCTGTGCTGTCTGTTTAAACTTAATATGTATGCCAAAAATTTATTTATTATTGATGGTTTAGGGTTTCATTAGGGTCAGTGGTTTTACTGGTAAATTATCTAACCTTTTCATACATAGATACTTTTGTTCGCTTTGTTTGCATGACATGTCAATCGAAATGCATATTGTGAGAATATTAAATATATTTTTTGTAATTTCAAAATAAAGAGTTTGTATTCCATCACGGACATCTGGCTCTGGTGGATTTTTAGGCATTTTGAAAATAAATGACAAATCGATAAATTCTATATTAAAACGCTAAACTTAAATAAATGACGATGAAAAATAATAAAAAACTTTTCCATCCAACACAATGTGATAAAAATTTTATTGTATAATGACTAAAGGGCATCCTGTTGTTTTGTGGTTAGGGGAACTAATTTGTTAATGAATTCTGTTTAGTATTGTTACTGTCGAGATACACTATTCCTTTATCTCTAAGCAAATGATTATAATTCATTACTTATACATATCTTATGGACAAATAATGATGAAAATTTGATTATAAAATTTAATTTAGCAACGAAATTATAGTTATCAAATAATTCTTTATTGCTTAATTAATTTATATTTAAATATATATATTACTATGATTGAGATCTACATTTAACTAGGATGCATATTATGACAAAACAAATAATATCAACTTGTAAAACATATTAGAAGAATATTAGAAAAAAATTGGAAATAATCTTTCCATGTTATAGTAGTATGTTCGACGACTATGTTATTTTTTTAAGTACCTATGGAACGTCTATTGAAATCTAGCGGATAATATTAACAACAAAGGTACACCAAAAATTCCACCCGACTTCAATGGAATTTCATGAATATAATTGAACCGTCTTTAATATGTGTATATTTTTTACATATTTCGTACCGGTTTTATTTGTGAAAAATTATCATCATGGTATTTTATGTATGTATTCAAAATAAATTTACATCTAGTTGTTGTAAACTAAACTCAGCCAACTACCCTTTTGCTTTGTATCAAAAATATTAGCTGTATTACAACTATACATAGTACAAAACCAAGTCGCTACCTGCTGTCTGTACGCGGAGATATTTTAAACACGCGGAGACACATCAAAATTTAATACGATTATTAATAATAAACAGTGATTCAAGAGGACAACTTATATATATAATACAGGACGCAGGCGAAGCCGCTGGCGGAAAGCTTATATATAAAAAAGATCTATGTGTGTTTGCTATGAGAAAGCAATAAAGATTTTTAAAAAGGAACAAAGAAACGCTGTCACCTTTCATTCTTATCAATTTACTCTGATGTGGCAATTGAATCTTTAAGTAGTTACATTATTCAAGTTTGCTCGAAATCGATAACTCATAAAATGTATCCCCAAAATTGACTGATCTTCATCCCCTAGGCGGCTGTGCGTTTCCCTCTCACGTGAATCAAGTTCGAGCACGCGAATTTTATTGGGGGTCTGAATCAATACATGGTGTTATAATAAGACCCCTTTTATACTACTAAAGCTTTAAGGTTCTTGTGACGAAATGCATTAAGAGTCGTTTCATAATATTTTTAACTAAATAGCAATTATTAAAAAAAAATATTATGCTACAAAAGTGTGACAATTTTTTTTTTCGATTTATAATTTTCTTTTCGCAATTTTGTATTTATAAAAGGCAGTATTTAGGAGAATCTATTTCTTTTTACTCTTTCGTAAAAAAGTTTAAAAATTAAAATATATTATATATCATATGTTTTTACACTTTAAATTTATTATATCTTATAGAAATCCAAAAAAGTCACCTTGGATTGGAGAAGCGGCTCGAAACAAATGGTGGATCCAAAAATCTTGAATTTCGAAGGTAGTTGCAATCCAATAAATCACCAGGGTGACGCACAAATTAGAATTCACTCTTTATATAGTAATTAACACAGACTTTAAAAGTAGTTTTTATTTCAATATTTATTTTTTTATGAGCACGCGGCGTCGCCCGGCATCGACGGCGACGCGATGTAGACTGCCAGTTCATCCGAGCCGTTGACTATTCAATCAGCCCCACACAAAACTTCTACTTAAAACCGCCATATCAGCTGATGTAAGATTATTGTTATTATAATTCTTATAGTTAAGAATTTAACGTGCAAAATTGCTAACTCGACTTGTACCTCAAAAGAAAAAAAAGTCAGTATGAACAAAGGTTGTTACACAAATTTGATAAAAGGACCGAGCTCATTTTTATCCAAAAATTGTCCTTCGTAAAATCAGTGTCAGCAAAACCCGATTACAATACGAGTAACAATGTGGCAAAGGAAACGGTATAAAGGAACATAATAAGGTATAATATATAAACACAATTTAACATAACAGAACTGGGGCTACCGGCAAGTCTTATGAATACAGGCTCGTTTTACAAAAGAGTTTGACGAAACAATAAGAGAATATTTCAATAACGAGACTTTCTTGTCAGAATGCTTTGTATTAAATTTATTTGAAGTGTAGCCCTCCTCAGAAAAAGTAACATTCTTCAGTTTCTATGATAGACGTCGATATTAATTTCTACAACTACAGCCGAACATATTGTGTAATATATCAAAGTTCAAGTATAATTGAACGCATCTCAAACTCAAAAAAAGAAACTCCAATATAGGTATCACTACAATAATATTGCTTAACATACCAAAAACCACCGAACAACTTCCCAGTTTTTTAGTTTATCTTCTACACTCATAAATCAATGCCACCCAAAGAGAACTCGGACCTTCTTATAAAAAATGTGCAGAGTGTCATTATGGAGCTCCTTTTTATTTCAAAGTCTGAAGTTTTGTTTGTCGACCACAAGGTATGCGAATTGTTCCTTTAATTATAGATCTTAAAAACAATATGGTAACGGGATCATATTTAAGGAATCGTTTTAGAATGAGATACGGTTATATAACATAAAAATATGTATGTACATACACACCAAATAATAAAATATATATTAATATTATAAAGAGAAAAAATTTAATTGTTTTGCTTATTTTAATCGAACACCGAAGTTACTGGACTGATATTAGAAATTCTTTCATCAACGAAAAGCTACATTTAATTCCGGTGACATAGGCTATAATTTACTCGGTCAAAATCTCGGGAAAACAGCTAGTAATTACTTGAGAGCCGATATTCAGTTTTACACTAATTTGGTTTGCGTATCCGACAAAGAAAAAAAGCAAGCGTTGCTAAAATTATTCCTATTCATAAAGGCTGGCTTTATTTCATAATTCACTAGCTAAATATGAATGATTCCTTTGAGCTCACGAGAACATCTGTAGTTAGTAATGAAAAAGGCACAGGCTCTGAGTTCACACATTCAAAACAAGGGGGAATAACAAGAGTTGGTGGCCTCGGGCTTGAAAGAAATTACACGAGGCAAATACGCTTTTTTATTTTTATCAACTAGCAAAATTTAAACCAGTACTAAGAAATGAGAGACAAAGAATTATTATTAAATAAGGAGACTGGAAAACGATGTTTGATAAATCATTAAGTTGAGATGAGACATAAAGCTTGCAAGCTCTCATAAGGGAACTAATATGCACAACAGCTCCATTACTAAAGTGCAACAGGTCGTAAATGTTGCGGTTGAAGCTGAAATTACAGCCTTTTGTTTTCTTAATACGTAACTCAATAATAGTATGCGTAAAGCTAGTATCCTGTGGAAAGTACTGAAGGAGAAACGAAACTGTGCTGTATGCTTTGACGGAGAAACTGGTCTCAGACTAATGAACTAAGATGATCGATGCGCGTATAAAGTTCAAATGATTTACTGGAAATGTATTTTATTATTATAAAATTAATAAATGAATATCGTTACGGACTCTGCAATCTTATTTTTGAATGGAATATTCAAATTATAAAAGTCAGATTAATGGGCATATGCGTTGCACATGCTAGTATAACTGATTTCATTGTGAGAGATTTGATAAATAAATAAATCAGTATACATAGTTCTGGTTTTTACGATGTTATTTCTGCCAGTTTAACTTCAATTTTAAGTTAATTATATTTCAGATTGACATCTTACCAAAATATTTCTTTTCTTTAATTATGTTGTTGTAAACTAAATAACATATAATACGAAAATGTTAGCTGAGAAAATAATTTGTGAGGAAAGAAATAAGTAAAATGAATCTTGTCTAAATTCAAAGAGAAAAATCTATCAAGAAAAATCGCTAACAATCTTTGAAAAATGATCCAGATAAACCGTTCTTTCATGTTATGGAGATCAAAGAAGAAACGCGGCAATTAAATGTTGTTTAATTCTATAGACATTCAGAAAAGTCACACTAGAATTTATTATTCTTTCGAAATAAAGATAGACACACATTTTGATAACGAATTTAAGGGAAAGACGCTGTTAGATAATAAACAATAGTTATAAGAAATTGTATGTGTACTTAAACACCTAATAGTTTGTGATTTTAACGAAAACTTCTCCGCCGCGAGGTAAATCAATACTCGTGCGGCAACCAAAAGCGGCCCATATTAGAAAAGTAAGAATAAACCGACGGCGGCCTTCCCAAATACCGCCGGCTCATTCTCGAATCGAAACAGCTATGATTCTTAGAAACACAACTTTAAAATCAATGAGCTCTCTCAAACGTAAACACTTTACACATTTACTCAAATGTAGTAGAAACTATTTTTAAGAGGAGTACGTGTTGAGTTACTATATGGCTCCATATAGGCAATGAAAGTATGCCATTTCACTTCGATTAAAAACCATAAATTGTCCCCTCAGACTGACATAGATGGAGCACATTGTGTTTAGATACTATTATCTACTAGACTATTCTTGTGACGGGTTCGATGCTTAGGTGTTTGTTGGTAAATGAAACGGCTAGGCTTGCTAAGTTGGTATATTTATGGTGTAAATAAAAAAACTGTACCATCAAAAAATAATGAGAATATAAAAACAGTTCGTATGGGTTTCTAAAACTATGATAAGAAGTATAAGTATGTACTTAAATATAACAATAACATCTTTTCTGGGTTTTACAATAGTAGATACTTCGTGTAGTTATAAGCTTGTATGCTTCTTTATTGATTTATATGATTAAATTACCCAGTTTCTTGCCGGAACTGACATTCAGAAAGAGCATATCGCGATACTCAAAACATCAAATTATGAAAAATGATTAATATAAAAGAAATGATCTTAAAGGTCAGTAGGTCAAAGATAAAAAGTTTCGATGCGGGTATCTAGGAAAATAAACGTTGTGGTACGACGCACCGTTAATCTTGAGTCCCATAGAATGTATATAACAGCAGGATAAAGTGTTTTTATGATTTAATACAATCGACTATATAATAACAAAAATGTGGATACCAAAAAGCAATCAATATAAATGTTGCGTAACCTGATAATACATCTTTTAAACGAGATCATGCATCAAAAGATGCAGTAACAGGTCAACGTCTCGAGTCAGAAATAGCCGCCGTGGAGCTCACCGCTCCTGGCCCATGTCTGTCATCACAATCGCTTAGCAAATCGTTCAGATATCTCATCAATGTGTCAACAAGGTTATCGATGTACAATATCTGAGGGCTCCCGCTGTACCACTGTTTACATTGGATATAATTGGGTATGCGCTTCCACTTTTCGTTTCGTTATGATCACAATAGGAGGCGAGGGTCATCGGCCGACTGATGGCGACCTATTTTTACAAATTAAATAGGCAATAACAATCGAGTGTTCAATTCATTTGCTTTCAACAATAGATGTACTTTTCTTTAGTGCGAGTGTGTGGATATTCATATCAAAGACTCTTTCTTTGATAAAGACTCATTATAAAACAACCAGGTAATAGTAGGTCCATAACTATTTAGTTTGTTTGTGTTTACGTTAGCTCGGAGTAAGATAGAGAATATCTGTTTAGAAAACGAAATTAACTAAAATCGTATAAATACATTACGAAGTTATAAAATATCTATAACTTTTATTGTGACAAAGAGGAATTATTGAAACCACCAAGAAATAAAAAGTATTCAAGCAATACAATTTTTTTAAAACAGTGCTTATCTGTCAAGGAAAAAGTTACACTTGAAAGACAAATATTAAATTATTTTTAAAAGGAAAAATAATTGAAATTAAATGTCTGTGCTGACTCAATTACAACAAAGTGCTTCCAAGATTTTTGTTTAAGATACACAAATTAAATTATTCATATTTTAGAACATATGTGTAAGACATTCGTTACTGATCTAATTACTATACTGAACAATCTATGTGTATGACATAGGCGTTATAAATTTAGCTTATCTAGACAGTGTGTCTATATGGCTTCAATCCATCACTGCCACTATAGGGGACGGATGTTTCGTATTAGCTAAAGTGGACGTGTAACTAAAATTTTATAACTACTTATTTATCGATAAATATCATAATCAACTTTTTTCTTCATCAAGTGTAAAATTTAATACTTGATTTTAATTTAAGTTTGCAAAAACACAATTTCGTTTCTAGTTCTGGTTATTTTATATCCGATATATCAGTATAAATTTACATTTTCCCGGGAAATCTGAGAACGCTATAACATCTTGGTACTATCCTGATTTAAGTTAATTCTTAGGTTAAATAAAAAATGCATTATATCTAAATTGCTTAATTAAAAACTGTCAAAACATATGATAATATCTAATCCGTAAGTTAAATACTAATAAGAGTAATGAATGAACGATACTGAATTAATTAATTTCGTCTTCTAAAAGATCAACAATGAATAAATAAAAGATTAACAAGTAAACGATTCACATTGTTAGATATTCTGTCTCGAGTGTTGACTATGAGATATTGGGGAGAGGCATCGTCTAAGCTCACGAATGAGGATTATACCAAAGTACAAACAATAGAGACAATCGTAGATGTGGATGAAATACAATCAAGATGATTGGTATAGGAGAACAAACTAATACAAATACACATCACTATAATGAGACTATGTTACTAAAACAGAAATACGTTGAGATTTTTTTTCATT